AACTCACCCGAACGTGAGAATTCTATCGTGTCCTACACGACAAAGACGTCTACGCGTCAGAGCAGCTGTGGGTGTATCATCTGCAAACTTCCCGGCTGGAAAGTGATAATAGCTCAAGGCTTCGTACTTGAAGATGTCACTGTCAACGGCGCAGAGTATCACGGCTTGCTTAAAGGGTTGGCTATGGTTCCCGAGCGGGATATCCCAGATGTGGTGGTTGTCGGAGACTCACGTATCGTGATACAACAAGTGCAAGGTCTGATATACTGCAAATAGTCCAACCTGCAACGGAAACTAGCAGAGTACGGTGTCTTACGAGAGAAGTTCAAGTCCGCTCGCCTGGTTCATATCACGAGACAATACAACCAGGCGGCAGACTATCTCACCTCGAAGACGTTAGCGCTTGGAGAGTCATGAATCGTGATTGACCCGACTGAGATTATGCACTTGGAATGTGTATCTTTGGGAGCGCTCCGATGGACCCATTGGAGTATCAAGCTGAAAGGTGGAGACGAATCAAGGTGCTCCAAGATGAGGACCCCCGCTTGCAAAACCTCAAGAAATTCTTGCGATGTGAAGTGGATGGCTTCTCTCGCACGCAGATACGTCGCCTTTCAAAGGAAGCCGACTTGTTCGAGTTGGATAGACGAGATGTACAGTTCTGTTTGAACCACTCCCCCAGGGGCGGCGAAGAGACCAGACTGATATGTTATGACTGGTGGTTCCGGAGTCGCTCCGTCAGGACATGCTGCACTACGCTCATGAGGGTTTCCAAGGGGATCACCAGGGCATAATGCGTACACATGAAAAACTCCGGTCGGACTTCTACTGGTATGGAATGTATGCGGATGTGAAAACGTTCGTCAAAGAGTGTGTGGATTGCGCTAGTGGAAAGGGGCGTCCCCCAACCAGGAACCCTCGCCCTGAAACATCGAGCCGACTCACCCATTCGTGACCGTCTCTATGGGCTTCGTCACACACTTGCCGGGGTCCGCCCGGGCAACACGATTCTGTTTCGTTTTCAAGATATGTTCTCCGGTTACGCCATGTGCAAGCCGATGAGCTCAACCATTGCACAAGAAGTGGCCGAGGCTTATGAAGATCGTGTCTGTCATAGGTTTGGGGCGAGTTCCATGATCCGCCATGACCAAAGCCCAAGATTTATGGTCGAGGTGTTCAGGTGTTTCAAGGAATTATTACGAGCCACCCTAGGCTATAGGCCCCAAGCAAATGGCCAACAGGAGCGGTCAGTCCAGACGGTGATTCAAAGTGTGCGTGCATACGTGGCTGAGGCAGATCAGTCCAATTGGTACGATCACGCCGAACACCTGATGTTCGCGTTGAATACTTCTTTTGACGCTACCCGCCTGGACACACCGTTCTATCTCGTACACGGCTGGGATGCTCAGGGGACGTTACTAGCGATGCTCAGGTCGAAGCCATCTGGTGTTGTCGAGCGAACGGCGTACTAATGGCGGAGAAAACTCCAGCGAGATTACAGCTATGCGCAAGCATGTGCGGAAGACCTACAGCGAAAAGCCAAGCGGGGTCGAGCGATCACGCAGACTCAGAAGCGGAGAGTCCTGTCGGATCGTATCAAGGCGGGATGTTCGGTCGGAGACACGATATGGTTATAAATTCCGAAGGTCCAGCCGGGATTGAGCCGCATGTTACTCACCTTTGACATGGACCCTTCAGAATCGCCGAAGGGACCGAAGATTTTAGTGTGAGACTCAAGATCGACGACACCGGTTACCGTGTGAATCCATGGGTACACATCAGCCGCCTCAAGCCTCGAGCTCTTTTCCCCAAGCGGCCGACAACCCCGGTGGAGAATGACGATGAAGACGACCTAGATGCAGCTCTACTACCAGATGACAGTTGGGAAGTGGACAACACCAACAACGAGTATGAGGTCGAGGAAATTTTGGACCTGCGTTGGTCCAAGCGGACCCGCACTTTCAAGCGCATCCTCGAATATCTCATCAAGTGGAGAGGCTACGATGAGCCAGATTGGGTGCGACTGTCTCAGTTGAGCTGTGGTGCCCTGCTCTATGAGTTCAATCAAGGGGTGAGCGCCCGCGCACGTTTCCGAGCCATGCCCGCTGGAGACGACCACCCGAGGTTGTGAGACCCCGGGTGACCTTGCCCGGTCGGACTGCAAAGTCTGGCCGGGTCCCGCGATCGAGTGACGACACTCGGCCGAGGTGTGTGTGTTGTGATGTCGGGTTTCTTTAGAAGCGATTATTCTCGAGTGGAGTCCGTATGATGGAACCCAATTGGCAAGTGGTGAACGTAGTAAATTTGACGAAGATGTGGCGACATGGATAAAAGAGAACGCAGACAAGGAAGATGGAACGCAAAAGATGACATTGACTGATTAAGTGAAAAAGGAAACACGCTACGGGAGAACATAGAAGTGCCATTGGGATCACCCTAGAGGAGTACTTCAGCCGCAGGAGAACGGATGGGGTTTTGACGGGCAAACCCTTTCTGGCTTGAGCTGATCACGAACTTCCTTCGGAACATCTGCAAATCGATCGATGTCGCTACAGTAGGGCGTCCACTGGGTACGCGCGGGGAACTCGAGTTCAGCCGCTTCGACGTTTTGCTCCAACGTGAATTTCCCACCCAATGAGTTGGGAGTCTTGAGGTGTGCAAAGAACAAGTAGCACACCTTTAGTGAGTAGAGCCAGAAGCCGGGTTCCCAGAAGATGGTCCGCGGAACACCCCTTTTAAACATCCGTTCGAGTCGTTTCTCGGAACCGTGCCCGACCGTTTCGTGCCGGGTGGAACGGTCCGTGTAGATTACACTAGAGGTGGTGTAGTCATCGTTGCGCGCACCGGCGTCCTTCCCCTTTTCCGGTTGGGTCTTCATGACGAACAAGTGAAGCATGTCCCAGAAGGCACGGGCGTTGTCCTTCATAAACTTGATGTGTTTGTCGATCGTCTTCACAGCCGTGGGCGAAAGGTCCGCGCGCAGATGGAAGTAAAGGTATTTCTCCCGGCTGGTGAACATGACCATCCAACACCGCTTGGACATTAAGGCGAGATACTGTTTCATCATGGGTATCCAACGCCGCTTGAGGAAGACGATGTCGGACAGTTGAGGCGCGTAGTCTAAAAACACGGGGTTTGGCCTTCAGTGTCATCCTTCTTGGGAGAAACCCGACAGAGGATTCGTCTGCGACGCCACGAAATGACACCCCGGCCGGAGCGTTCAATCACGGCCTTGTCGGCGTCTGACAGCTCGTCGTAATAGACGATGGTCCGCGGCTTCTCTCGTGCCCGTTCGCTAGCGGTCTCCGTTTCATCTTCACTCGACCCGGCACCTTCTTTTCCCGGTTGGATCTCGGCCTCGGGCTTCGAGTTTTAGTTCTCATCGGCTGGGTCATCCTCCTCTTCGGACTCCCCAATCTCGATGGTCTCGTGAGCGGAGAGCGAGTCGTCCTTCACATTGCAAAACTTCGGCCAGTCCAATGGGTAATCATCAGCCAGGAGGCGCCGTCTCAGGACGACCTCGGCCATTCGGAAATACTTGTCAGGGACATAACGAATCCACAAGGTTTCGTCGAGACACTGATCGTACATCATCTGTGTCAACATGTTACACAAGTCCGCCTCCAGAAACTCGTGATGTGCCACTGCGTTATCGCCCATCATCTTCACCGACAAGCTGTATCCGAACCCCGCCTGCATAGTCAGCAGCGTGTCCTGTCGGAGGTCCACGAGTGTGAGAAAGTCGGGGAATCGGAAGCAACTTGCTCCACCGACATTTTCTGGGCGGTGATGAACCGCAAAGGCCGCTTGATTGACTCCAGGTGGAGTGTTGGGCGAGACTGGACTCGCACGTCCCATGCGGGGTCTCCATCTCGATGATCTTTATGGTCTTGGACGAGCGATGCGACTGCTTGGACGGAGGTTTCCGCGTGGAATTTCCCGAGGAAGACTTCTCGGTCGGCGTAGCATCAGGGACGGAAGTCTCAGATGGGAGCGACGAAGCAGGAGGTTTCTCCTCCGACTTGGACGCTTGCTCAGGGGCGCCGTCGTCACCATCAGAAACGGCAATCTCCTCATCCTCGCTGGCCTCACTTTCGAATTCCAGAGCACTCGGGAAGGGAGGCATCGCAGGATAAGATTTGTCGGCGGGGCTCAACGTTCAACCAAGTTTTCCATTTGGCCGGAGGTTGCGTGCCTCGCTCGAAGTGGCGCAGCAAGTGACGGAGACGAATCCAACGACCGCGAATGCTACTGTGGTTCTCGTGCAGGAACGCAATGAGTTGTTCGCATCGAAGGCTTTGGCCTGCTTGGGTTTTTCCAACCGAGATATGGTCTGAGTGGCAGATGCCAGACAAGCCTCGAAGTTCTGGACTTGATCCATCAACCGAGTCTCGCGTACAGCCCGTTCGTCAGACGCTACAGAAAGCTCACGATCTAGCTGGGTTCTCGCATCGTCAACGGCCTCCTGCAATGACTTGCGTTCTTGTTCGTGGTATGCCTCGAGGAAGCCATAATCGCGCGTGAAGCCAAGACCCGATGCAACAACGAGACCGAGTAGAAGAGACGCTGGGCGAAACGCTCGCTCTCGAACTAGCGGAAGACGGACGCCATCAGCCGACGAACCAGCAACGAGTCCAGGAATGCCTCGAAATTCTCGAGTGGCTGGCCGCCCGGGCCAGTACAGGGGCGGAGTACCATGCTGCGGACTTCCGATTGACAGCCGACAATCTGCACAAATGTCGTCGAGGTCCTGGTTGGACAGACCAGCAAAGACCAGCAGATTTTCCACACCACCGTAGCCATCCTGCACGTGCGTGTCCGACCGATACGCATCAGCATGAACAGGTACACCAACAACAAACGAGTCTGCATCCAGACCCCGCTTCGGCGGAAGTACCGCATGTGTGGGTTTAATGTTCGCGTGCCCCTGAGAGCTGGCGTGCGACGACGGTAGGAAGCCCGACTTCATGAACTTGATCGCCCCGCCGAGGTCGAGCACGCGCGTGACTGGAGATGGAGTATCAGCACAAGTCGCCGCGGGTGTGGCAGGCGCAAGCCAGTGGCGTTCGCAGGTACAGGAGACGGACGCAAGATAAGTGCGAGAGACTGTGAACCATACACAGAGGAAGCAGACGACTACACATCACCATTCGTGCCCGGGCGCCCTCCGCAGCGTCCGGAGTCTCGGGCTCGCGCGCAGGAGGTGCCTCGACCGGCGGAACATCTGCAGCAGCAGGTTTCGAACCCGCAGAAGATGTGCCCTCACCACCGTTGCCAGCGCCGGCCTCATTATCCTCAGTGGAGGTGTCCGCAGGCCGGAGTTGCGCTGGGATTGGCGGCGCGGTGGATGACGAAGACGTGGGTGTAGGCACCGGTGTAGCAGTCGGATGGCATCGTCATGGCGGTAGGAGCAGTGGTTGCAGGAGTGCTAGACGCGACCATGGCGGAGACGCGCTGTTGGCGGCGCGAATTGTGTTGTGAGGCGACTCTCTTAGACCTAACGGCCGAAGAATCTTTCGAAATGGAGTGACTCGATATTGAAATGCAGTGACTAGATCGTGAAATGGAGTGACTAAGCCTCGATAATGCGCAAAGAAGTGACGCAAGAGTAGGCAAGGACACAGCGGGATCTTCACCTGGACCAAATTTCCGTCCGGACTTAGGCTTTGAGTGTGAATGGGTTCTACTTATGGTTGATCAACTCGACAAATGACTCGGAGAAGAACCAAGATCTGAGGGGCGGTTGACACGATGTGATTCGCAATGTTGGGATACTTCTCCCAGGGGGGTATGTGATTGGTCAGTTCGAGAGACCAGTTCGTGTGACAAATGGATCCGTGGATACAGTGTTTGGTGTGCAGTGAAGGTCTGAGACGTTATGCAATGGCTTAGTTGCCACGTCCCCAAAGTGGACCCCGGACGGAGATTTCG